CCAGGTTGCAAAAAACCTGCACGGCGACGAGGCCTTGCAGCGGCGCGCCCCGCAGCTGCGCGAGAGCCAGCCGAGGACACTGCGCGGCACCTGCAGCGGATGCAGGGGGCCGATGCAAGCACGCGGGGGTGGGGGGTGTCCGGTGTCGCCGGGCCATGCGACACAAAGCTGTGTCAGGTAGCAACACCATCCGATATCGGCGGCCGTTCGCCGGCAGATCTGCCGAGCGCGCGCCGGAAGTGGCGCGCCGCGCCAGCCCGGTCGCAGTGGCGCGCTGCCAATCCGTACAACAGGAGCCGCCGGAAACACGTGACGGCGGCACGGACTGCGGTCGCCGGGTCAACGGGGCCGGTGCGGACTGTGGCTGCCAGGTCGACGGGGCCGGCGCAGGCGCGTCTCGAGCGCAGGGCCCCCGGCGAAACGGCCAAGTACGTGGACCACGACGCGGTCCGGGACACGACGAACGGCATCAGCCGGCGCGGCAGGCAAGCTGAGCAAGAGGTGCGGCACGGCTGCCGGCGCGAGAGGGGGTGTCGGTGGAGTCACGGCTGGGCCTACAGGGGCGCAGGGTACTGACATAGTCTTCAGTGGTGGTGTTAGCAGGGCGGAACATCGGCAATCCGCGGGTCCCGGTACCATCTGGTGGAGCTCGGCGGAACATCTACAGAGCGGCATTTGTTGATGGAAGCAATGTAGGTCGACATAACTCGCCGAGATACATGGTCATAGCATTTATGGCCTTATTGCCAGTCTAACTGTGTATAATGGCACGGACGGAGTGCATCCGAGAGCCGTATGTTTCCTCCCTCTGCTCACACGCGGGCTCCATGTGTTTGGTCGGGGACACATGCCGGCTGCATCTAATGTCCCGCCGTGCGACGCGGCCTTCGGCATCCGGTAGCCAGATGTGTGTCGTTTCCGGTTTGGAGTAGAGTATAACGGCCACCAGCGGCAATAAGCAACGGCAATATTTATGGATGGTACGTTAATATTTCTGAAGTCGCGTGGTTTATACAGAGTGTTACATTTTAGATGACTTGACCCTGAACCCACGCTATCGCCTTGGATTAAGCTAAATAGATATAATCTGGAGGAAAGCAGCAGAGCATAGTTTCCAGTACAGACAAATTGGTATTAGCTGCGCTTTACTGCAACTAAATGTCGTCTATACATGTGGTAAAAACGGCTGCTTTATTCAGGCCACTGTGCATAACATTTAGGGTCACAGTGTAAATGAAATGTGGTCGTCTAAATGTGCGGCAAAAGCGACAGCTTTATACAGGCCATTGTGCATAACATTTAGGGGCATGATTTGGGAAACATCAATAAAACAATACAAGCGGGCCATAAAATTGCATCCACAACAGTTAGTTGACTTAATCGGTTCTTATGGATGGTGTATTGCTGGGGCGCTGGTGTTTGTTTCAGGAAACTTTGCGTACATAAAAGGTTTCCAACTTAAATTACTCTGAAAAGAAAAAATACGATTCCATGGCGCAGCTAGTTAACTGAAAAGACTTCTTAAGGAGCCAAATATGGCAACTTTCCTTATTTCGCCTTCGGCCGTTTGGCTATGGGCCGTAACACCGTTAAGAAGAAAGAGGCACTTCCAAGTACAATCCAGCACCCAAATTAGCACCCATTAAGCACCCAAACCAGTCTCAAATCGGGCACAATCACTGCTGCGTAATGTAAAATTTCCTGACAACCAGAAAAGCATATTTATCAGGAGAGCATATCACAGCTTTTTACACATATAACACAGAAACACCTATTGATAAACCAATTTCTTCAAGCCCAGCCCATCCGTACGTACTCCTAGCGCTAGAACAAGATCAAAAATGGAAAACCGCACCGAATTCCTCCATGTGGACACAAACCATGATTCTCGAATAACAAAACATTGGTGACTGACCACAGATAGCGACTTTAAAACCCCATTTGACCATTGCACTAAGCGACTGCACGATTTGGGGCCGGCGCGTCGCCGAGCCTCCCACCCGCAGCAGACCGAGCCGCGCGGTCCAGCGGGCCGGCGCGGCCCGACCCGCGGAGCGCGGGCGCGGTCGGGCGCCGCAGGCCGGGGGCGCCGCTCCGTCCCCGTCCCCGGCCCGGTCCGCTGAAGTGGAGCAGGTATGTGCCGGCCGAGCAGCGGCCGGCGCGGCTCCGGTGGCGGCCGAGTGGCGCGGGATGCGACGTCACAGGAAGGGGCGTCGCGTGGGCGGCCGTCACCCGCTCAGGCGGCGGGGCCGGCGCCGGCGCCCCGGGCAGTCCGCGCTTCCGCGCCGCTGCTGGGGTGATCAGCATAGGCCGTCGCAGGGCGGGTATGCCGTGGGCAGCGATATAGGGTACGTTCGGACTGCAGATGATCTCGGAGAATTGTCCGGAATGTTGGAAAATTATCCAGAACGGCGCAAGACACCGCCAACATGAGGCACTGTCCCAGATCTCCTCCGTGCCATGGGAGAAGCCCGGATCATTTTCAGGGCCTGGTAGGGACGGAGCACCTTTCTTCGCCATGCCTTCTTACGACCGTTGGTTATGCATGTTGCAAGAAAGACGAAACTGGGGGGGGGGGGGGAAATTCGGTTTGCCGAACGCAAATGGAGAATCTCCGAGCATAATTACCGGCCAGAGAGGTATTGGCTGAATAATTTTTCCTTCGCCAAACGCGCCCATACAATGGCTACAGCTGGGGTAGATGTACCAGTAATTTGGAGCTTAAACGAGGCATTCAACCCTACCGGTTCCTTAGCGCTGAAATCTCCGCGCCCATTTTCGGGGCAGGGACAACAAAACTTCCAGCGGGGCTCGACCCCAAGACCTTCCACACACGGATTTTGGAACTACCCGTGCGGGCTGGTAAATCTACAAGCACAACTTCCGAAATCACAGTCACGATGCCTTGGTACTCTCAGTCACGATGTATACTCTTAATTAAATCCCGGAGAACGGTGAGCAGCAAGGTAACGGATGGGAAGGGCAGAGTAGGAGTGGGCTTCGGGCAGGTATGGCCAACGGATGCCCGTGAGGGTCTCAACCGAGCGGTCAGGGCGGCTGGCCAGTGATGCCGTGCCATTCCGACCGCAGCCGGCGAGGCCCGGCGAGATCCGGCACGACTGCCGTCTGTTCTTCAGGCGATGCTCTTCTGGCAGAGGTTGACGTAGGCAAGGTTGCCCAGCGTAAAGTGATCAGCCCGTTGTGGGGACATTCACGACGAGCCGACGGGAACAGAGTCGTCGGTCTGGTCAGCTCCTGAACGGACGGCTGGGACCGGGTGTGGGACATGCTCAACAAGCCGACCGGAACAGAGTCGTCAGTCTGGGCAGCTCCTGGCCGGGCGGCTACGGCCGGGTTTGGGTCATCCACGACGAGCCGACGGGAACATAGCCGTCGGTCTGGTCGGCCTCTGAACGGAAGGCTACGGCCGGTTTGGGTCATCCACGACGAGCCGACGGGAACAGAGCCGTCGGTCTGGTCAGCTTCTGAACGGACAGCCAAGGCCGAGTGTGGGACATCCACGACGAGCCGACGGGAATAGAGCCGTCGGTCTGGTCGGCTTCTGAACGGAAGGCTAAGGCCGAGTGTGGGACGTCTACGACGAGCCGACGGGACAGAGTCGTCGGTCTGGTCAGCTCCTGAACGGACGGCTAAGGCCGAGTGTGGGACATCCACGACGAGCCGACGGGAACAGAGCCGTCGGTGGGTGAGCTCCTGACTGGACGGCCAAGACTGGCTTAGACAAATCGTAGAAGCTTGTTCTCGCTCCTATCAATGTCTTCAAACTATCTAATCACACGTCCATCTCCCATCCGCCCATCTCAAATTCGTTTATTCTAAATTTTACGACCCATCTATGTCGTGAAAATAGCTCAGATTTACTCGGCAAGTTCGGCTCAGATCAGAAAAAGGACTGTCACATTCGTGAGATCGTCGGGTATGTGCGAGGCTGTAGACCAAGCCACTCTCCACAAAAGTTGGGGAATTTTCCCAGAATAGCCCGCACGTCAGCACTAGTAGATATTTGGAATACAGTTTCCGTCACCGTCCGGCGTCCATGTCCAGTTTCACTGACCACCGCTCAAAACCCGCTCTGCTTTGAAATTCCGATACGGCCCTATAATCGTATGCATCGTCTAACAGTGTAACTGCCAGCAAGTATCTGGTTATCAGCAGAGCTAGCCCTGACTGCCTGCCGAATGTCCACCCATCCAGATCAAATGCCCACCACTCTGATCCTTGAGCTGGCAGCCCGTCATGGATTCCTGACCATTGACGGTTGTCCCGTACTCGTTAACCAACTGACTGAAGGTGAACTTTAGTCCGACCAGCCCGTTAGAACTCTCAGTGTAACCCAATATAGTGACAGAGTCCTGTGTAGCTCTCGATATAACCCCCATTGGTGACAAAGCTCTGGTGGAACTCTCGACATACCCATGGTTGACGAGCTCTGTCGAGCTCTCGATATAACCCTACGGGCAAAGGAATCCTGTGGAGCTCTCGATGTAACCCCACGGGTGCACAGAGCCTGTGGAGCTCTCGATATAACCCCATAGGTGACAGAAGCCTGCAGAACTCAGCATATAACCCCATCGGTGGAAGAGTCCTGTGGAACTCTGCATATAACCTCATCCGTGACAGAGCTCGGTGGAACTCTACATAACCTCATCGATGACAGAGCCCCGTGGTACTCTCGACATAAGCCCATCGGTGACAGAGCCCCGCCTTCCTACGCTCCTGGCGCAGACCCGTATCAGCCAGGTCCCGACGGAGCCACCGCACAGGCCAGGCCCCTCGTAAAGACCCGTCCTGCCCGGCTCCTGGCGCAGTCCCGTGTCGCCCAGGCTCCTAGTGCAGACCTGAACCAGCCAGGCCCTTACAATGTCCCGCACCTCCCATTCCCCAGACACACCCAGTACCGGCGAAACCCTCGATACAGCCAGTGCCGTCCAAGCCCCTAACACACCCAGTACCAGCCAGCCTCCATCGCAGCGCCGTACCTGTCTGTCGGCGAACTCGCGGTCCATGATCTCGCGGCCCATGGCGGCAGCCATCAGCGACGGCACGTCCAGGCCCGACATGCCGCCATGGCCCAAAACCGTGCGCAGGATCGGGTTGCTCTCGCACCAGACCTCCTGCGGTCGCCGCTTCTTCTTCTGCAGCTCGGCGGCAGCTGCGGCGGCCGCTGCTGCTGCCGCCGCCGCCGCCGCCGCTGAGGACGCCGCAGCGGGGTGGAGCGGGTGCTGCTGCGGCTCGGGTGGCGGCGGTGGCTTGAGGCCGGGCGGCGGCGGCGCCGGTGCCGGCGTCGAAGCCGGCGGAGGCGACGGCTCTGGGGAGCGGCGGTTGGAGTCGGGGCACGGCTGGCGCGGCTCGATGGTGGCGCGCTCGGCGCCGCCGCCCTCGACCTTGTGCCGCTCCCAGCGGCCCTCCTCCACCAGACCCTTGATCTGGAGGGTCTCGGCCACCTTGAGCAGCGAGCCCAGCTGCTCCTGCGCCACGTTCACCTCACCGCGGTACATGTACTCGAGCAGGGCGCGCATCTCGTGCAGGCGAATGTCCTTGAGCACGACGATCGGATGCGTGGTGACGTGCTCGGCCAGCAGCGTCTGCAGGTACGGCGAGCAGGCGGCCAGCACCATCTTGTGACACTTGATGGAGGCGCCGTCCACCGCCAGCGTCACGTCCGTGAACGCCTCCGTGTGCAGCAGCGCTTCGAACACGTTCAGCAGGTTGCTGTGGTGGTTGTTCCACTTCAGGCAGAACTGCTGGTTGGCGGCCATGGCGTGGCGTGACGCGCTCTGCGAAGACCGACGATGCACGTCATGTTCAGCGTGCGGTGCACGTCCGTGCACGTGCTGCACGTGACGCTCACACTACACAGAGCTGAAAGAACCAAAGTAACAGCGCCCACTTTCTACCTGACATCACAACAATAACGTTCCCCACTTGGTACCATCGGTTACGTGTTGGTTGTCACATAGGCAGTGCGCAGAGCGCGCGAACGAGCGAAATGGAACACTCAATGGTGCGAGCATGTCGGGAAGTACAAACCCAAATCGTTTGAAGATCTGCAGCGACGGAAATGCGACTCAGAGCGTTTCATCATCTCTCGAAAATGCATGGCCTTTACTACAAACTGCATCGGAAAGTAAGCAAAACGGGGGTGTGAATTTCATTCGGCAACGTTCCACGTAAACCAAGTATATCTACACTACTTGGCCGATCTGCCAGAATAGCGCAGACGGAAGGCCGATTTTAAGTTGGCACAAAACCACCGGAAATAGCGGCTGCCTGCCGTATGTAACGGACTGAGCTTGTCTGGCGTACAGGATATGCGTCGAAACTCTAACATGAGACCGTTGTTCCGTCATGAAGTCGTAAAGCCTCCCATCAATAAGGTGCAGCCCTGGTTTTGACATATAATAGCCTGCCGTGTCCATGCCGTCGAGTCACTACCCCACCAGCAGCCAAGTTCCACCCTCGGCGACACTGCTTTCCACTCACGGGAACAGGGCCAACCGACCCCTGACGAGTTACGCCAATACTCCCAGTCCGGCCATCTCCCACGTCCGATCCGTAAAAAACGCCGCGTTGAGGGCGGCGGGCGGCCGGCTCCGGCCGTCCGACACATCGGCATTCCCGGTGCACGTGCCCCAGCAGCGGGCGGCGTAATTGACCGATCTGGGCTTTTTTACGTCTTCAGAAGCGGCCGCGCGCGCCGGCGGATATCGCGCTCGCGTCACCGGCCCACAGGAATGTACCCGATCTAGCCTTCCCCGGCCGCGGCCCTGGGCGCCGCCGACCGCCGCCAGCTCCACAGACTCGCCGCCGACTATCGGCCGTTTCATCGGCGGTTGGCTTCGCATCGGGCGCGTGCGTCCCCTTGATCGGGTACATGACTGATGGCACCAAGCGCGACGCCGTGTTGTGTCGGTCAGGGCACGACGTCGGCCAGTGTGCAGCGTGTCGAGACCAGCGGCTGGCCGTGACACCCGGTCTCGCGCCTCTGCTTACCTGTCTCAGCACCAGTCCTGTCTGCCGCCTGCTCATCGCCCGCGACCGTCCCCGCCCGTTGCCTGCCCTGCCGCCAGAGACCAACTGCCCCTGTCCCACCACCAAGGAACATTCCTGTACTTCGCCTGTCTCACTAACAGCAACCACCCCCGGGCTTCACCTTTTCCAGCACGAGTCATGTACCACCTGCAGAGAACATGTACGTCTGTCTTCTGCGCCAATCCTCGTACGTGGTCTGCCCCAGACTCTGCACAATACCTGTCCTAGACTCGCTCCGACGCGTGTCCCAGACTCAGTCCGGCACCGGTCCCACTCAGTACGACGCTCCCAAGCTCAGCCCGACGCCCGTCTCAGACCCGTCCGTCACCAGTCCCAGGCTCAGTCCGGCGCCGGTCCCATTCAGTACGACGCTCCCAAGCTCAGCCCGACGCCCGTCTCAGACCCGTCCGTCACCAGTCCCAGGCTCAGTCCGGCGCCGGTCCCATTCAGTACGACGCTCCCAAGCTCAGCCCGACGCCCGTCTCAGACCCGTCCGTCACCAGTCCCAGGCTCAGTCCGGCGCCGGTCCCACTCAGTACGACGCTCCCAAGCTCAGCCCGACGCCCGTCTCAGACCCGTCCGTCACCAGTCCCAGGCTCAGTCCGGCGCCGGTCCCACTCAGTACGAAGCTCCCAAGCTCAGCCCGACGCCCGTCTCAGACCCGTCCGTCACCAGTCCCAGACTCAGTCTGTCGTCTGCGCCAATCCCTACTCGCCGCAAGTTCGCCACAACGGAGGCAGTCTCCGAAGAATGTCTCTGTTCGTCGGTTATCACAATCCCGGTTCGTCACCGGGCCCAGTCCCGCGTGTCTCCTGTCCCTACTCCCGTGCGTCACCCCCCAGTCGGCGCTCTTTGCCGGTCCTGGTGACTGGACTCTGTCCGTCACCTGTCCCCTGCATCGCCTGTCACGTCCCCGCGCGTCACCTGTCCCGGCCTCGACCGTCCCCACACTGCCTCTGATCCGTCCCGCCACGGCCCTGCCCGGCCTATTTACGGGGCGGCGGGGCCGGGCAAGGTCGCTGACACTGGCGCAGCCTCGCGGGCCGGCCGGCGGCCCGGTCCGCGCCCACATCATTGGCGTGCACATTAGAGGCGGCCGGAGCGGCGGCGGCGACAGCGGCCGCCAGGGGCCGCGCGCCGCGTCCGAGGGAGCAGCATCGGCCGGTATCTGGCGGCCGCGCGGGCCGGCGGCCCGGTGACACGCCGCCCGAGCCGGCCGCCGCCGCCGGACGTGCCGCCCCGCCGGGGCTCTGGCGCCGCTCCCGGGTGACGGCGGCCTCGCCCGTGTCATGCGCGTCATCTGAGCGCGCCGACTGGCCCACTGACGCACGGCAGCGCTCGGGGTTTCGTTGTCTGCGAAGCCGCTATGCGAAAGACTCGGTACAAATCAAGGGTGTATTTTGGATTTTACGTGCGACGTGTCTCTGCCTAGAGAAAGTAAGTCTGTTGACTCATCGTACCACTGGCAGATGCGGTTAAAAGGGATGGGAGGGGAATTAAGCAGCAACACTGTCTACTAACTTCGTCAGTAGTGGATGTCGCTCCAACAGTCATGAGAAGCGATGACATGCTGCCGTGTTCAGTCGGATTTGTGGCTTACCCTGACGTCAGAACGTTGACCTTCTTGTAAAATGGAAAAGATTAGCAAGAAAGCATGCTGTCAGTCTATATTCCTTGAAGCAGAGGTTGCGTCGAAGCTATAGGCTGACCCGAGCCAAGGCGAGTTTTTTATCGTTTCTACAGGTAAACATACCAGATGGAATTCATTCCGCGCTTCTAGCGGGCAACCGACAGGCTTCCATATAACTGTCTTGCGCAAGCATATTCCCTGTACGTGACGCCCCATGCCTGGAAAATCAGGGCAAGTTTCATCTCATCTCACTGATCATAGTGTCGTCACCCTCGGCTATATCCACCGAACTCGACAAAGACCACGGCACGAGCAACGCTGACAGGGTCTCTGCAAAGGTGCCGCCCGCCGGTCCTTGGCCATGTATCCGCTTCGATTAAAGACATGAATGGCTTCGTTTTTGTGCCGAGACTCGGCGTGTGTGTTATGCGACAGCGGCTCCGTGTAAACAGTCTGGGCGTGACGGGTTGACTGCCGACGGAGCAGAGCTGGACAAGGACAAGGACGGGCTCGGTCCAGCCCATCACGCCGCCTGCCCGGCTGACCTCAGGTCAACGCCAGGCCTCCAAGCACGCCAGCGTCTTCTGACCACCGGTGCGCCTGTTCTGTCTGACCCGTCGAGCCTGCCCATATCATTACGGCCAGCGCGATAGCTGGGAGGCTTCCGCGGTTTTCACGGGTGCAAATTTAGCCGCACTCTAAAGGCGAAGTGGAAAATGTTCCGCTTGGTTAACATCGAACCATCGGTCACAGTCTCGTATTCGGCCTGCTCTACACCGCTAGATAAACACCGCTAGATGACACTGGCAGGCGGAGAATCTGCGATCCATTATGGCGAATTCCCAGAAGGTCAAGTAGGCTAGTCTAAACAAGTGGGACAGACAGCGACCAGGTTTGACCAATCGCGAAGTCCTTCCAGGGACGCACTCATGTTTGTACTGGCGAGCACCGGCACCCGGCAGATCTGGGGATGCGACGGCTCCGAGACATACTGCCACTCGCCAATGGGCCGCCTGAAGACTTTTGCAAAGCATAATACCGCGCTCGCACTTCCAACGTGCGATGTTCGCTTCCTCCCCTGCTAAATGTTATCCTAGAAAGAGCAAGGTCAAAGTCTATAATGGATGCGAGCGGCCGAAAGCCTTGGAACGGCCCAGTCAGCAGGCCACGTGTGACGGTGACCACGGGACAGCCCGGCGAGCCGAGCAGCGGGTGCTGTCGGCTCTGCGGTGGTTGTGAGACGACCCTATCAGCTGGTCGTGGGGCGGCCCGGGCAGATGATCGCGCCACCGTCCTAGCAGCAGGCCGTGGGATGTTCGGGACATATGGTTGTGGAACAGTACAGACAACTGGTGGTGAGTCGGTCGGCTGGTCATGGGACCTTCCAGACAGCTGGTCGTGGCTCGGTCGGGTCAGCTGGTCGTGGGTCAGTCGGGACAGCTGGTCATGGGTCTGCCAGTGCAGCTGATCGTGGGACCGTCCCGGCAGCTGGCTGTGGGACGGCCCGGTCGACCCGGGAGAGCGAGCGACGGGCGCCACGACCGGTGAGCCGTGGGACAGCGCTATGCCAGCAATGCGCGCCGCGGAGCTCAGGCCCGGCGTCGCTGGACAGAGGAATCCGGGTCAGGCTGGGGCGAACGACTTTGCCGGCAGGCCCCCGATTAAAATAGGAGTCAGACGAGCCGTTTACTGGGGAGTGGGCGCTCTGCGATACAAGTTAAACGCTACGTAGCGCTCTGACAGTAACACCTGTCCAAGTGCCGCATGTCGCGTTGTTTCGGTCTCATCATATGTAGTAAGAATTTGGATTATTTTTAAAGACCTTGAGAATGTAGAAAACTTGTTTTAAGGTTTGGAATGGATAACGCAGACGTTGTGCTTTCTCAACTGGTACAAGAGGCGTGTCTGGTGCATAGTCAGCATATCTTGATTTCATTACTAGTGGCACTTCTTTGTTTCTGAGAGGCCACTGGCGGTGACCAGTCAACAGTTGAGTTCATCCAGCCCATTGTTCCTGAATATCACTATCATGTCTCTTAACGCCTCAGTCAGAGATTCAGACGAGTGTGCGCCTACATGCGACGAAACCTAATTCAGCGGCCCTGTTTAAGGCAGTATATGCGGGGAAAATGCTTGATTGTGGTTGATGTCATTTGTCGTGACGATAGTTTTCTGCTGGCTTGTCTGCCGCGGTTGCCTCATTGTCAGATAATTCGCATTAATGTGTGCCCAATATCGATACACTATGTAGTGTTATAACTGGAACTAAAATTGCGATGCATGCCTATATTTTCCTCTTTCAATTTATAGTCCAAAGTTGTAGTGAAAACGAAGGTCACTTGTATCAGGTGAGCGCAACCGACCGCAGACATAGCTCCCGGCAATACAGGCCATGCCTCATGACATCAATCATTGCCCTGGCACTTTCAACTCATGGGAGGCGCATTCCTACAACAAAATCCGCCTGCAGACGCCAAAACCGAAGCTCTTTGTGGACCGAAATCCGTTCCACATATTCCCTGGTACACATTTATCCGAATTTCATCAACCTTGACTCAGGCTTCAGCAATAAATATATAAGCATTGTCATACCGCTGCATGTTTGGAATCTCCTAAAGGTCTAGCCGGCTCCCCTCTATGACCGCGGGGTCTGCCACCCTGGTCACACACCCGAATGGTTTTCATGACCAATCTGTCTCGGTCTAGATCCGGCGCTTCAAGAACTGCATACTGGTCATTCGGCTCGTTCATTCGCCGGAAACGGAAAGGCTCGTTTGTGTGCGATTTAAGGTGCAATTATAGCTGCTCAGTCGCTGGGACCCTTTCACTGCAATGCCAGGATGTCGTCGGGACCCACGTAGCGACCGGTGGTGAGCGGTAACCCACATTCTTAGTACTTTAAGCTTAACTTTGACTTGATACGAGTTCGCTTTAAACTTAACCCACGATCACTCAAACCAGGCGAATCTGAGCCTGTCCAATGAAAACACTTCACAGTTGGCGTGCGGTTGAGTACTCTAAGCAACCGGGCCAACCAGCCCAACGACCAGTGTGTCTAAGCCCTGCAGCTCCGACCCGGCAACATGCCTTCTCGAGACGCTTTTCAAGTCGACAGTGGTCACTTCCCAGTCGACTGCTGGCACCCTTAGGTTCAGACGACAGGACTGAGCTGGGTGGGTAATTTGTACAACGTGCAATCAACTACACTGCGCAAATGATTTCAAATCTACCCGTTCCGGTTGCCATGGCCTGACAAAAAAAACACAAACCGGCGAATGTACGGTGTGTTGTCCAGCGTCCGTGACCAGCTCCGTGTTCGAGAGTTCCGTGCCCCGCAGTGAGGCACATTTTTGCCAACACGACTGCTCATTCCTTTCTCACCCAAACCGTGTTGTACGCATATCGCCACGGGTTATCCAGATCTGGGTCCTGGTGTTGCGTCAATTTTCTGCAGCTTGCAAACTCAACCCCTATCATATTAATCGAATGGGGAAGACCAGTTTTGGTCACGTTGCAACCTTGTGCGAAAACCGTGTCGGATAAATAGATGCACATGTAGATGACATAAAAATAGCGCAGGCACCTTTAAATGTCATTAATTAGCTTGTAAAACCGTGACAGCCTGTCGGGAGGGGTGTTCAATCACAAATGCTGATATAATTCAAGAACATGTTGGAAAAATGTGCGTGGCCCACCTCCTCGCAATCAGCTATTACATCCGCAGTACGACACGACATGCTTGCCGATCAGCGGCAGTGAAGCCCGGCCGCACTGGGCTCACGCTTGCCAGCATTCATCCATCGACGTCGTCGTCAGATGACCGGCCGAGGACAGGAAATCTCGCCCCATATGACCCTATCTAGCCGACCCGTGCTCTGATTTTGACCGTACGTCGCCAGCGGACCTAAACGTGCGCGTACGGGAGCAGTGGAAGTGGCAGCGAATCGCGCTGATCCCATGTCACCGGTCTCCTCGGCCTAGGCTTCTTTCCGGGAATCAAGTGTTTGGTCGCTTGGCAAATGCGTCATGGGCGTTTGCACGCGGCAGCAGCAAGATATCGCAAGATTTCAAGAGGCCAAATGAAGAGCAGATCTAGGTGATTGATGATGCCATCCACGGTTAACGTTCTTCAAGCCTGAGATTTCACTTGTGAGAAACAATGCTGGTTTGTCGTTTTCGTGCGTGCGTGTAGACACAGGCTGTTTTATGTCGTGGAACAACTGACCTCTGAGACCTACGGCTCGAATAGTTCGCCGCTATGACCTTGTGTCAGCGAGGCCCATTGTTGAGACCCAATTCCCGCCGGAAACGCGAGTACAATAAAATACCATAAATGCAGTCGACATCGGTAGTCTCGATTGTTTTCCCCTTTGGCGGATATGTACTCCCGCTCGGGTAGCCACTAGCAGTTGGACGGCTCGCCGGCTCCGCCGCCGGGCATCGCGTGCTGACGCGTCCAAATAAAACATGGCCAAGGCTGGTACGAAAAAGTCGGTCCGGTGATATCGGCGGCGGACGCATGCACGCTTCCACCAGCGACCTCCACTCCAGCAACTTCGGAGGAAAACTCAACTTGGCAATATGTGTCGTGCCTCTGAGGATAGTGCCAGGCTTTAAACTATGCACAAACCATAGAGAGCCGCATTACAGAAGGGTCCGCGCACCAGAACTCACAGGCCTTGCTTGCTCTCAGCGCTTTTAAAGTGACTGGACTGTACATACGCGTTGGGCATCGTGACTGGTGACCTATATGCCTTACCCGTCCCCGTCCCCTCTCCATATGACGCCAATGGTCTGTCCTTAAATATTCACCAGGGGTTACGGAGCAGGAACATGACAGCACAGATCATAGGCTCTCCCATGCTCTTAAACGAGTGGCTGCACCGTACCTATATCTCACGAAAAATTCGATCTTAAATCGCGAAATTTTGGGGAGACAATCTTGGAA